AACTTTAACTTTTGTTTTTCTATCTTTTTTCAACTATCAAAATTCTTGTTTTCATATAGTACAATGCTACTGAAGTTGTGTAATAGTCAAAAAAAAAATATATATATATACATAGTTTTTTTATAATTACATGAAACAATACTGTTGACCCGATGTTTTGGTGTGCCGTCAATTTGATAATTTATTGTAACAAATTTCTGACATATTTTTACTTATGGAATAGTATAAATTAACATCTAAAGACGACTGCAGTGACGAAGATGATGACCATTTGTACAAAATTAAGTTGTCAATTAAAAATTTTTTCAATTAAAATCACAAAAAAAATGACACTAAAACCCTGTAAATATTGTAAACTAATAAAGCAATAAAGAAAAAATAGCTCAAAATGACAATTGTTTTGTTTAGCCTAGTGGAGAAGATCGTTTTATGAATCAGTTTTATAGAACTGCGTTCACAGTGTGTGTTCACCAGTAAACCGATGCAATTGATATTTTCTCCGTTAAATAATAGTTGAAGATTATTCATTTCAAAAAAATAAATAAATAAAAAAGAATAAAAAAAATTAATATTTACGATAGCGCTGAGCAATTTTAGTGTCATTTCAATTGATATATCATTATAATATTTCTTATAACACGCAAATTTTGCCATTGTTTTGCACTTATACATCTTTTTTTTTTTTGGTTATCATTTCTACTCTCCTATCTGATATTGCACTTCTCATCTGTAACACTTGCAGAAGCGGTAATCACTGGAATATACAACTGTACAGATGCCAGTAAATTGAGGAGCGAATAAAGATGTATAATAACAGCTAAATAAACTACACTATGACTTTGTGGTAATAAATGGTTGAATGAGATGTTTAATTCAGCTCAAGACAGTCTGTAGAAGTCAACTGAATAGATTTTAGTGTTCATTATTATATCTGCTTTTTAAGACAGAGTTGGAGTTAAAATTCTTGCTCTCTTTTTACTATTTTTAGTAAAATAAATTTTTAAGCGCAAATTACATATAATTATTACATAGACTTTTTAAACAGCTCTCCAAATATAATCTCAGCGACCTTTCTCTGGGCGTTCTTTACTTTGATATACTTAAATAAAAATTTTAAGATGAAAAGAAGGAGAGAGAAAAACGGAAAAAAAAGAAAAGCTTGTTTTCCTCTCTCCTCAATATATAAAATATTTTTTATTTATTTATTTACTTGTTTCTTCATTTTTGCCTTTTTGTTTCAAATTATTCTCCGACTTGTGATCGTTATCAAGCCCTTCTTTTTTTTTCTTTTTTTACTTTGGATGTAAGAGAGTAAAAACGAAAGACGGAGTTGAACAACGATTAGAATGATGCGGATAGTATCGTTGTATTTTGACAGGAAAAAAATTAGTGGAAGGTTACTTGTTTTTTTTTTTGTAAGATACAAATATCTGATTGATATGTTATCTAAAAAAAATTTTTTTTCTTCAAAACTACACATATTCATATATAGTAAGTTGAA